GGTGCCGTCTGGTACATGAGAGAAGGCATCTGAAGAAACACCCTCCTCTCTGCGGCATTTGTGTGCTTGTGTGTGTTCACTCATTTTATATCTGCCTTGTCGCCTAATTTGCTTTTTATGCTATACACAGCTTTGAGTACAATGTGTGACTCCATAAATGTTAAATCACACTTTTCTGCTATTTTCCCTTAATCATTTCCTCCTGCCTCCGTTCTGTCTTGCAATGTGACTGATGCCCACTGAGGCTACCAAACTGCCATTCGCACGGAGACGCGTTCAATTCCGCAGACAACCAGCAGAGCTTCCGAAGGCAAAGGTGAACAAGAAATAATCCCCAGACTCCATGACTCGACACGAGTCCCATCTCTCCTTGCACAGAGTCTGGGGCACAGTGAATGAGAGTTTGTCACCTTGAAAGCCAAGTAAGAGAGAAAAGGAATGTTAGAGAACATTAACAGTCAAGCCTGGCATGCATTCTATGTTTTTAACATTCACTGAATACCTACTATATCGCAGAAATTGTGCTAGGTACTGGAGAGGCAGCCAGTAATGAGGCAGACAAGACCCCTACCACTCCACCACCACCACCACCACCACCACCACACCATTCCCACTGAGCTTTATATCTAGTGAGAGACACAGGCAGTGAACAAAAAGAAAATGCCAGAGGGCACCACTGAGTGTCAGGAAGAAAACACAGCAGGCAATGGGATACGGAAGGCCAGTTAAACAGGGTGGAAATTTAAAGCCAAGCACAGCAGAAAGCTGCAGCAAAATCCTGGAGGTCATAAAAAGACACAGAAATGCCCTGAATTCCTATCACTAAGTGAAAGCAGCTCATGTGAGAAGCCTGTCTACTGTACGAGTCCAACTCCATGGCAGAACTACGGCGATGGCATAAGAAGACGAGCAATCGGCAGGGGATGAGGGGAAACACAGAGGATGTTTAGGGCGAACTGCTTTGCAGGATTCCACCACGGTGGCTACATGTTCTGATGCATTTGTCCAAAGCTCTAGAACACCCAGGCTCTGGGGGATGATACCGTACCCACGCAGGGTTACTGATTCTAACAAGGACACCTCCCTGCTAGAGGATACCAACAGTAGTGGGGACCACACCCATCGGGGAAGAAAGGGGGTCTGGGGAACTCCCTATATTTTCCACGAACATTTGCTGTGAATTGAAGCAGCTCTAAAAACTAACGTCCACTTTGAAATGTTTAAGGGAGGAAAGTGTGGCGCGTTGCAGAACTACTGTTGTGTGGCTATGGCACAGGGAACAAGGCAGGCAACGCGCTGGCAGTGGGGAGAGCCAGGCAGGTCGTGGTTAGGAGTTCAGATTTCATTCTAAAAGCACCACAAGAAACCATCTGATAGCTTTAAGCCCGGCTCGTAACTTCTGAAAGGTCGCTCTGGCTGTGGTGCGGAACATGGCCTCCGGAGATACAGTCCAGAGGCTGCCGATGGTGGTGCCGGCTAAGGCGGCAGTGGCAGACCAGAGGTGGATGGATTTGAAGCACGTGTTCAAAGGAGAGCTCACGGGGTTCATGCTGCAGAGACTGGATGTGAGCGATAAGGAGAAAGAGTGGGGTAGTGGGTTCAGCTGCTGCCTGCAACACCAGCATCCAGTGTCGGGGCACTAGTTCTAGTTCTGGCTAATCCACTTCTGATCCAGTTCCCTGATAATGTGCCTGGAATAGTAGTGCAAGATGGCTCAAGCACTTGGGCCCCTATCGCCCAAATGAGAGACCTGGATGGAGTTCCAGGCTCCGGGCTTCCGCCTGGCCCAGCCCCAATGGTCACGTCCATTTAGGGAATGGACCGATAAATGGAAGATCTCTTTATCTCCCTGTCACTCTGCCTTTCAAATAAATAAAATAAATCTTTTTAAAAAATGATTCCTGAATAGGAAAAGATATCACTAAGAGGGAAAAGACCCTTCTGGGGGACTGAATGAAGACCACAGAAGATGCTGTGTGACATCTTGATCCACCAAAGCAATGGGAGTGTTCAAGTCCACCAAAAGAACTCAAGGTCAGCTTACTTGATCTCTGCCTCAATTAAAATGCCAAATGCACGTGTCCATGTCTGTGTGTATGTGTCTTTGTGTGTATACATACAAAAGTGCTTCAAAAAGTTCCTGAAAAACTGGAATTAAAAGATAAGCTTACTTTGGAGCAAAAAACTAAAAAACTGAAACCCATGCATTTGAGAGGCCTTCAAAAAGTTCATGGAGGAGCAGTTGTTTAGCTAGAAGGCATTAAAGTGCCCATGTCCCACATCAGAGTGCCTGGATTTGATTCATGCCTCTAGCTTACAATGCCAGCCACCTATCAGTGCACCCACCAATGTGGGGGACCCAGAGTGAGTTCCTGGCTCTTGACTCTTGCAACAGAATGAAACATCAAGTTAAGAGTGTTCTCTTTCTTTCTCTCTCCCTCTCTTTCTCTCATCAACTCTCCCTTTTTTTTCTTTCTTCCTTTAATTAAAAAAAGTTCATGATAAATGCATATTATGAAAAACCCATTGATGGATTTTAAAAAGATTCAAGTCATAGCTGCTCTACTTCTAAGCCAGCTCCCTACTAATGGCCTGGGAGAAGTAGCGGAAGACAGCCCAAAAGCTTGGGCCCCTGTAACACACATGGGAGTCCTGGAGGAAGCTCCTGGCTCCTTGCTTCAGCCTGGTCCAGTCCTGGCCAATGTGGCTACATGGAGAGTAAACCAGTGGATGGAAGATCTCTATCTCCTTCACTCTCTGTAACTATTTCAAATAAATAAATTTTAAAAAATAATAATTAAAATGAAAATTTTTAAATTTTGCACCAAAATAAACTTTTTGGTTAATTCTTCTCCATGAACTTTTTAAAATACCCTCATCTATACATATATGCACATATACATATGCATATGCAAATATACCTAGTTTTTTAAAGATTGATTTATTGGTGCCAGTGCTATGGCTTAGCAAGTAAAGCCACTGCCTGCAGTGCCAGCATCCCATACAGACACCAATTCAAGTCCCAGCTGCTCCACTTCCGATCCAGTTCTCTGCTAATGTGCCTGGGAAAGGAGTGGAGGATGCCCCAAGTGCTTGGGTCTCTGCACCCACATGAGAGACCTGGTTGAATCTCCTGGCTCCTGGCTTCAGCCTGGACCAGCTCCAGCCATTGTGGCCATTTGGGAAGTGAACCAGCACACGGAAGACATCCCCTTCTGTCTCTCCCTCTATATATATAAAACTCTGCCTCTCAGCTGAGCCAATCTGAAGCTAGGAGCCAGCAGCTTCCTCTGGGTCTCCCACGTTGTGCAGGAACCCAAGCACTTGGGCCATCTTCCACTGCTTTCGCAGGACATAGCAAAGAGTTGACCCCAGTATATCTAATTTTTAATACATCATTTCTGTGATGCAAAGCAAATTCAATCCATTTAAACAATCTTCTGAGGAATAGAGAAATGGGACTGTTATTCTTACTGCATCCTCATTAACTTGCAAGGAAGCTGAAGGCAAACAGAGTGAAGGCCACCCAGCAAGTTATGAGCAGAGCTGAAATTAGGAACCAGATTTCCTTTCAGGTGACCACACACCTCTGAGGATCACCCCAAAGGGCAGGGCATCCTGCACACACTGTTCTCAATGTGATGAAAACGCACATGCGCGGATGAGCCCTTGTCTCTTTCCTTAGCTCAGCACAGAGGCTAGTTAAATAACCCATAAAAGTGGCCGACAAAACTAAAAAATAAAAATCAACAATACCAAAGCAACTCTTACGGAAAGCAAATCAAATATTAAGGTGCAATGTGACCCAAACTTTTTTAAAAAATTTATTTTTTATTTGAAAGGCAGAGTTAGAGAGAGAGAAGAAGGGGGAGGAGGGGCTTCCATCCACTGGTTCCGTCCCAACATGGCCACAATGCTATGCCTGGGCCAGGCCAAAGCCAGGAGCCTCTTCTGGTCTCCCTGGTGGTTGCAGGGCCCAAGCACTTTAGTCATCCTCTGCTGCTCTCCCAGGCACATTAGTATGGAGCTGGATCAGAAGTGGATCAGCTAGGACTCAAACAGACACCCACGTGGGATGCCAGCACTGCAGGTGGCTATACACCACAGTGAGGGCTCCTTGTCCCAAACTTTAAAGCAGACATTTTCTTTGTGAACACCCAAGCCTCTGCAGCTTCAGGTATTCACAAATAGTCCAAAGCCCCACCAACCGAGGGTCCTCAGAAATGGGAGAGTCAGGTTCCAAGATTCACTGGCACAACGCTGCCTTCTCATCCAGCCTCATCTGGAACTCCTCACCTGCTCCTTAGGTATCTCAAAGTACAAGAATGGACCAGATTTTAGGAAAACACAAGAACCAATGAGTTCACAGGTCTTGGGGCTGGCATTGTGGCACAGTGGGTTAAGCACCTGCCTGAGATACAGGCAACCCAGATGGGCACCAGTTTGAGTCCTGGCTGCTCCACTTTCGATCCAGCTGGCTGCTAATGGCATGCGAAAAGCTGCAGAAGATGCCCCAAGTACTTGGTCCCCTGCCACCCACACAGAAGACCCAGATGAAGCTCCTGGCCCAGCCCCTGCTGTTGTGGTCATGCTTGGAGTGAACCAGTGGATGGAAGATCTCGATCTCGATCTCTCTCTCTTTCTCTCTCTCTGTTTCTCTCTCTCTCTGCCTGCCTGCCTCCCTCCCTCCCTCCCTTCCTTCCTCCCTCTGTAACTCTGAGTTTCAAATAAAGAAATCGCCAGAGGAGAGTTCAAGGTCTGGTTTTGACAGCCAGGGTGCAGTCTTCAGCCCGTGGACTGCTTCCCCAGGCTCCTCACACAGCCTCGGGCTTTCATCCGGCAGCCGCCACCTCGGCCACTGTGAGGACGCCCACCTCACAACATTCTGAAGCCTGAGAGCGAAACAGGGAGGGGGCGGCCGCCTCGGTGTCTGTTCCCGTGAGTCATATGTGCTTTGTTCCTACTAAATGTGGGCCATTTGTTTTCCTGTTGCCTTGCAGACTTCCCGCTGCGGCTCTTCTCTAACAGCATTCTTCCCAAGGGCCCCTGCCTTGCGAGCACAACCCCACGAGTGGGCACCAGGCAATGACGCATCAGCATCAGCACTTGCTGCGCCCCCCGGGGCACCGGACCGAGCTTCCAGAAGAGGGGGTCCCAGGAAGGAGGGTGAGGTCACTGCAGCCTGACCTCCCATCTAGAGGCTAGAAAACCACTTTTCAGGGCTGAAACCATGATGAACACGTATGTTAAGTGACACAGAGTCACGCTCATTCACTTATGGCTGGCCAAGGCTGTCAGCGCATGCCAAAGCGGAACTGGCTCTTGCCTTTTGTTAGACAGGAAGGTCACCCTGTGGAACTGCCCACTGGGTCTCCAGAATCCTCTGTCCAGGCCTTACTTCCCTGTCCCATAAGAGCTTTTTACTGTTTGAACACTCAGTTTTCCTAACTCTGTCTTCTCACACCGTTACAATGTTCTTTCTCTTTTGGTCCCCTGAGGATGACTGATATTCACAAAGACAGAGCAAAGGAAAACTGGGACTGATTAAAGGGGACTGGATCCAGGAAGCGCTCCTAGGAAGAGCCCCAGTCAGGGATCAGGGCTGCCTGAGTGGGGAGCCCGGGAGAGCAGACAAGCACACAAGCAGAGCGGCCAAAGGGAAGCAGTGGATCTGACACCCAGGAAGGTTCCAGATGGGCACCGTTGGCATCACTACCTTAGAGGGAACTCCAGAGGCTGGAAGCAGCAGGTTATGGAATGCAGTGGTACCTAATGCTGGAAATAATGAGAACCTGGCTAGTCAAAACCAAGGCTAAGGCTGACACTCTTCCCTTTATACTCAAAACAGCCTCTCTCTCTGGAGCTCTATTTCTCTTCCTCACAGCTGGAGCCCAATGTCAAATGCCCTATTATCCTCACTTGACACCTGATACCATAAGGTGCCAATTATCACAGTGATGATCCTATAAAGATCTTTACACAATTGCACACTATAATTCTCTTTGCAGAGTTTCGTTCCCATCTATGGCATCTTTTGTCACAACAATGTGACATAAGCACTATCAAATAAATAAATCCAAGCTCAAGGAGATTTAGAATCTTACACAATGCTGCATAAGGGAGACAATCTGCGTTTTAAACCTGATCCTCTAACATGAGATCCCATGCTTTCCAGAATACACTATTAGTCTACTTTTTATTCTCTATATGCTCTAAATTTCACTGATCCAGACTCTTCTAATTCAGGATGGGTGAGGCAATAAAACAGGATCATTTGATACCCCATTTACTTGCAAATCTGGGAAGTGCTATGACAACTGTTGTGCATACAATATATACATATATATGTAGAGGAGGCTAGATGGGGAAGCTACCTTCCTGCAAGTAGAGAGAAAAAGAAAGCCTGCCTCCGCTTAGTCATCAGGAACCACATCACCACCTTCTCACCAGTATATGGTTTTCTAAATACAGATTTGCTGACTACCAATGATTTCATTTTGATTTTATGGCTAATCAATGTTTCTGAAAGTTCAAAAAGACTATTCCCCCAAATATAATAAATATGATTTTTTTTTTATTTTTGACAGGCAGAGTGGACAGTGAGAGAGAGAGACAGAGAGAGAAAGGTCTTCCTTTGCCGTTGGTTCACCCTCCAATGGCCGCCGCTGCAGCCGGCGCACCGCGCTGATCCGATGGCAGGAGCCAGGATCCAGGTGCTTTTCCTGGTCTCCCATGGGGTGCAGGGCCCAAGCACCTGGGCCATCCTCCACTGCACTCCCTGGCCATAGCAGAGAGCTGGCCTGGAAGAGGGGTAACCGGGACAGAATCCGGCGCCCCAACCGGGACTAGAACCCGGTGTGCCGGCGCCGCAAGGTGGAGGATTAGCCTATTGAGCCACGGCGCCGGCAATAAGTATGATTTTAAAGTAATGATACTGAGTCTGTAGACTAAAAACAATAATTCTTTAAAAACTCATAATCATATGGTTTTGTCAAGTGCCTTTATTATGTACAGGTTTAATATCCCTTTTCTAAAATGTTTGGAAAAGATGTGTTCTGCATTTCAGATTTTTTTCCAGATTTTGGAATATTTGTATGTATGGAGAGAGACCTTGAGGTGGAGTTCCAAGTCTAACCACAAAATTCATTTATGTTTCATGTACATCTTTTACACCTGTTCTGAAGGTAATTTATTTGGTACATTTAGCATACCTTTATTTTGGCTGTGACCCATCACAAAAGACCAGGAATCTCTACCAGTGGCATCATGTCAGTACTCAGAAAGCTCTAGATTTTGTAGTATTTCAGATTTCAGATTAGAGATACTCAACTTGTATTACGTTATCCTGTAGTTCCGTTTAATGTCTGGCATAAAGTTCATTTTCAAATATTTGTTGAATGGTTTGTTGGATGCATCAGTTAGAAATTTCAATGTCACTTACTCCAGGCACAATGGACCAGTCTTGGCTTTGGGGAAGCCCTAGATATAGACTCAAGCCTGGCTGTTTGCCAGCTATGGCTCTTTCGGCAAATTACCTCGCCTCTGGATTCCAAGTTTCCTCATCAGCGAAACAGCGATCACACCGAGTATCACAGTTTTGGTGTGAAGTTCAAATGAATTCACTCACTTGGCACACAGTCAAGGTTGCAGAAGTTAATGTAGCTTATTTACTTCTCCCTTCTAGCCCACATTTAGCATGACCCCTGACCTAATGGCACCTTAATAATGGTGTTCAATATACAAGACGTGTTATAAAGGTAATGGCTAAACATCAAGTTCATTTACAATGATGCCCAATTCTTCTTCCACTAACATCAAACTTACCTACCCATGGACTTGCGATAGATTGTTAGCACAGCAAGCATCCAGCAAATTTTGATGATTTTTGAACAAATTTCCATGGAATTGAAGTTTATTCTTTTAGGCCCCAATACTCCTTATATTTGAAAGCTTTCAAAAAACATACTACACACTTAATTACTATGCTAAAACCATAGGTTGAAAGAATTGTAAACTTTTCTTTGCTCATGGTTATCAACGTGAATTTTGACTTAGTAGTAGATCTGCCCATATTAGGTGTTTCTAGATTTTACACTGTGATCTTTCTTTTCCTTTCCTCCTCTGGTCATCAGTAACCTCATCTCCAGGAAGGCATGACACATTGGGGAATGAACAAGACAAAGTCCCAGTCATCTTCAAAGAGTTCACCAGGAACAATTTTCAGACATTTCTCCACAACTGCCTCATGATAGGTGCTTCAAGAAGGGCCCCTTGTCAAAGACTCTTTCCCTAGTGTCTCTTCTCATATTTACTTATTTATTTATTTATATGAAAGGCAGAGAGACCACGATGGAGAGAGAAACACACCCAGAGAGCAAGACCTTCCATCTACTGGCTTACTCCCCAAATGTGCAACAACTTGGCCTAGCCCAGGTTGAAGCCAGGTGCCCAGAACTCCATGTGGGTCTCCCACATGAGGGGCAGGAACCATACTAGGGCCATCATCTGCTGCTTCCCAGGGCCCGCATGAGCTGGAAGCTGGAGTCAGAAATGGAACTGGTCATGGAATCCAGCTGTTCTGACATGGGATGCAGGCACCTTCGCCGGGAGGACAACTCACTGGGGAGCAAATCAGTGATGGAAGATCTCTCTCTCTCTCCTTCTCTCTGCACTGCCCTGACTTCCAAATACATAAATATTTAAAACAAACAAAAGGAAACGTGAGAAAGGGAGAAGGGGTAGGCAGGAGCAAGGAGAAGCATTTCTGAGTTGCCTAGACCATCAGGAAGGCAGCAGTGGACGTGACGATGGAGAAGCGAATACCTACGCTGCCTCTGCTTTCTCTCTCCAGAAAGTCCCTCTTCGAGCACAGAGCTACCACACTTACCTTGCCCGAGCCATTTCTGTGCTTCTCTTTCCATTGTTTACACTTCGGTTTTAAGGACTATGTGGTGTAGAAAGGGTCTTAGAATTCACCACATCCAAGTCTCTTACTTTATACATGAGAAAAACTACGGGGCAGCTCTGTAACTGCGCAAACAAAATGAGAACTGGACACCCAAAGTCTGTGCCGTCCTCTTTGGGATCACAAAGTGAGTGTACTCACCCAGATGCAGCCTGGCTGCCCTCAACCCTTTTGCCCAATAAATTATTCTCTAGGGAACAATGTCTTAAGAACTATGTTTAAAGGTATTAACAAGAATCTTAGTATTTTTAGTTTAATAAATGGGTTTTTAGTATTAATTTCAATGCCTGAAAGGGCTGAAATTGGGTTTTTCTATGCTTGGACAGGTCCTGCCTAACCAATAATAACAAGATAACCAGAAAGCAATTAAATAGATACTGCCATTTGGGTCATAACTCATCACACACACACACACACACACATACACACAATCAAGAGGCACTTAATGGAAACAAAGTTTGAGTTCACTTTTGTTACTCTACTAGCCTGGGTTTTACCGAAGAGAATATCAAATTTTAAACCATACGGTTTTCCTAAGATAAAGACACATCATTTATTTTCCAAAGGAGGGTCAAGTTTCTTGCTATTGCTCCCTAGTATTTCTTTTTTTTTTTTTAAATAAAAATCTCTACATTTATTTACCCGAGAGGCAGAGAGAATCAGAGAAATATCTACCATCAGGTGGTTTACCTCCAAAATGCACATAAAAACTGGGGCTGGGGCACAGGTCACAGCCAGGAGCTGGGAACTCAGTCCAGGCCCTCTACATGGGTGGGAGGTACCCAAGTACTTGAGCCATAACCTGCTGCTTCCTAGGGTGTGTGTAAGCAGAAAGCTGGAATCAGGAGCCTGGACTTGAACCCAGGTACTCAGAGATGACACACAGGCATCCAAAGCAGTATCTTAACGACTATATCAAATGCCCACCATTGCTTATGCTGTTTCTGACCCACGAGCAGAAGGCAGCCCAGGAACTGTGTTCAACAACCCTTCAGCCTGGCTTCTGAGCATCCTTAGTGTGCTTTGCCCAATCCAGGTCCACAGCCTCCTAACTACTCACTGTTCCTTACCCTCAGCCTTCAGTTCTGAGGCTCTGAAACCACAGCCTTTTGATAGCACATTTTAAGACAGTCCCGGGTTTCATTGTTGTTATATCTCAGATTCT